ATAAAATAAATACAAATAAGAATAAAATAAAATAAAATAATAAGAAATTATGAAAGTGGAGGAAACCCATGGTAATAACGTGAAAAGTGTCAAGTATGTGACCGGAAAAATAAAACTAAGAAGAAGGCCGCTGAAACTAAAAATTAACGTAAAGCAAGACTGGCTAGAGAAAGAGAACAAAAGCGTAAGAGAAGAGCATTGAATAAAGGACTTAGCTTAGAATCTGTTGACAAGCACTCTAATAAAAAAAACAATATGAAAGAACAACAAAGGTTTAAATAGACAACAATAATATTTTTTTTTGTTACTAATAATTATGCTATTTTAAGTATACAAAATCGCAGGATATCTTCTGCCCCACTTGAAACTGAGTTTCTTCCTGAATCGGATCGTATACTCTTGCAAAAATTTAGAACCACTATAAATAAATTCGAGAATAACCTTTGTCCTTTATGCAATAAACGTTTTCCGTTGATCAAATTAATTGCAGGAATGTGTAGACATTGTTACAATGATAAAATTATCTTAAAAAAGTTTTCTGTAAGAAATAATATGAATCCAGGCAACGTACCTGAGGAGCTTCGGGGACTTACTGAGATTGAAGAAATGCTAATTGCACAAATATTTCCTGTAATCTCAGTATAGTGTCTTCGTGGGGGCCAGTATGTATATAAAGGAAACGTTATTAACTTTCCTCAGGATGTGCATGAGTTTGCCACACGACTTCCTCGAAGTCCATTGTCACTGGACATACTTGTTGTACGCTGAAACTCTACATGTAAGTCGATTTTTCGGAATTTTAATGTTCGTCGTATTAAGGTTGCTCAGGTGCTTTCCTGTCTGAAAGCGAACAATCGTTATTACACAAACATCATTATTGATAATGAAGTGTTATGATTACTACCTGATAACGGTCCCGCTGACGAACATTTTCAACAAATCTAAAATACTGAAGATGAATGTGACGAAAATGAAAGTAAACGATTAAACAATGAACAATTAAACAATAATGAAATTGAAATTGAGGATGAAATTATATGTAACTTTATTCCTGCTTTGCCACTAACTCATTGTGAAGATGATGCAATTCACGATACTCTTTCCCGAATGCAAACTAAGAATATGTCGATTAAATGACCAAGTATTGATAGCAGTCCTATAAACAAATTTCAAATACCTGAGTATATTGTACGCGCCTTCTTGACCTTGTATCCAAACGGAAATGCCAATCTTCAAGCAGTTCGCTCAAGAGATGTAAAACCTGCTAAGTATTTTCAACATATGCTTAAATACAAAGATGTAAGATTTGCAAGTCATACCCATTGGCATTACTTTGCACTTAATTCACAAATGCGATGGAGAGCGTTGCAGGAAGGGAGAGTCTATGTTAAGCAAGGTTTAAATGACAAGTAACTAAATATGAAAGAGGTTCAAAGAATGTGCGAAAGGAACAGTCACCTAGCTGACCAAGTTATATGGTTTGGTGAAGGCTTACAAGGAACTCGGCAATTTTGGATTAAACGAAGAGTTGAATTGACAGATATGATTAAACAATTAGGAACTCAAGGAATAGTTTTTTTCACATTCAGTGTTGCAGACTTACACTGGTTGGATCTCTACAGACTTATGCCGCACAGCGAGAATCGAATAGAGAATACAGTGCAAGATGCGGCTAAGTCTCGATGGCGAAATTTGATAAACAATCCTCATATAGCTATATGGTTCTTTGAGAATCGCTTCAAATCTTTTTTAGAAAATGTACTGATTTTCAAGTGGAATTTAGAGGATTGATGATATAGATTCAAGTGGCAGCATCGCGGAAGTGTTCATGTACATGGGATCAGAAAACGAAAAGATGCGCCATTAATTGAGTGGGAGAAAATGAAAGAAGACAATGATATAATGGCAAGAGTGATACAATACCTAGATTCCTTAATTACTACAATAAATCCAGGGATTGATGCGCCTGTACCCGAACGGCACCCTTGCCAGAAAACTTATAATGAGTTGCGTGACGACATGCAAGATTATGTCGAGCTTATTAATAAATTACAACACCATACAAGATGTAGTCCTTCATATTGTCTTCAGACCAATCGTGCAGGTCAACAATCTTGTAGATTTGAATATCCAAAAGAGATTATAGAACATACCTACATACGGGATGATAATCACGGCCGTCCAAAACTCATTACCGCAAGAAATGATTCTTATATTAACTCACATGATCAACTTCAACTGCAGGGTTGGCAGGTGAATGTGGATTTAAAACCTGTTCTTAGTGTTTACACTGCTCTTCAGTACATCGTCAAATACGCCAGCAAATTTGAGCTACGATCAGAAGCCTTTTCTGAAGTATTGAACTGCATTCTTTCTAATAACAAATTCGATGATTTATCTCTCGCATCATTTCAGAAGTTGCTACTTCATACTGTTGCAGAGCGTGACATTTCTGCACAAGAAATCTGTCATTTACTCCTCAGTATCCCATTATACCATTCTAGTCGTCAGTTCATTTCCCTAAACTTTAACAAAGTTGCACTATGGTTGCTTTATGAAAACGAATACAAACTGATCAATGAAGTTAGACAAACGGTATTACAGAATGAAAATATAAAGACAAAATAATATTAAAAACACCTGCAATAATTTATAATAATCCTTAAAATAATATTTAGAATTTAATATTAGTTCATGTAACAAATAGTAACAATTTA